AAGTTAAGTGCGAAATAATTGCAATTTTCAGGCAAACCACTATAGAGTTGGTGTCGCTACAGAGTAAGATCCGGTAAATGCAGGTTTCTTAGAAAGAGAATGATGTGCGTCAAATGAGTCTCTGTAGAAATCAAATACTTTAATGGTTGTGGACAGAATAGCTCAACACAACACGCAATTACATGTGAAATAAAATGTCATTGAAAGAAAAGTGGCTTGAGTAAGTGGTGGAAATCGTGGATGACGGCCACAGAACGGTAACAAAACTCCGAGACATTTACAGTTACACACAGGTGTAGTGGTGTGCAAACTCTACTGCATGGGGATGTTTAGATAACTGTAAAAGAATTCACATGTTTACGTTTTTTAAAAATATTTATTGAAAATATAAATGTTTTATATTATATTATATTATAATAAAGAATTGAACTCTGCATGAGATTTTTTTTTTATGATTTTTAAATAGAATTTCTTGGTAAGTAACATAGCACTGTAAAAAAAAAATTCTCAGGTAACCTAAAATGTGCATCATTTAGTAACATCAAGGGTCAAATCAAATATAAATAGCACATTACAGTTAAAAGAATATTTTTGCTCAGGTGGCCAAAATGTCCGCCCAATAGGTACATTTTTTGCTCAGCAAGAAAAAAGAAATAGAGGGAACATTTATTCTAACATGTTCCATAAAAGAAGAGGCTGTTTATAAGAGTTGGTTAATTTACTAGTCGTCAGACTGGAAGTTTATTTTGTCGTCATTTTTCATCATATTTTGTCACATCCTGTCTATCTTTTTTTCATCTGTGAAACGTCACCAAGAGTGCTAATTTTAGCTTTCATTCATTCTATGACAGCATTGCATTTGTCCTTCATAGAGAAGGAAAATCCAGAATGCATTGTAAAAAAAAATAAAAAAAATTTCAATTAAAAAAAAAAAATAATGTCATGAATCCAAGATGGCAGTCAAGCTAATATGCCATGTGGTGCAGATTTTCAAAATCTTGAATAATTCAAAGGACAATTGATAATATTGGTTTAAAAAAAAAAAAAAGGTTTTATATACAGATGAATACCATGAAATGTATTTTTTAATTGATGGGTTACACCACAATAGCCATTAAGCGGAATCTTTTCTTGAAAAAGGTATAAAGGTTTTCCAAAACCATGAAACCAAAATAAATACAAAGAGGACAAAAATGTCACAGGTTTAAAATACATTTACTTTATTATTATTATTTTTATTTTATTTTATTATTTTTTTCAGATTTTCTTGGGCACTGTTAATTGCCACTAATCCATAAACATACTTTACAGGAAAACACTGATAAAAGGTTGTAGGTCTAATGTTGTAGGTTACATGACAATGGCAATGGCAGACTTTATTAATACTACACACATGCACACTTCTAGAACATACATATTACCAGCTGAGAGAGCGAGGGAGCTCACTAGGATTTGAAACAGTTTAAATCTGAGATGATTCACTTCAACTGTAATGTAATGTCAACTGTAATGACAAGAGACCAAACAGAAAAAAATATCACTGATTTACAATGAAAAGTGACTTTTCTTTTAACGATAGACACTGTCGCGCTGACTATGCACTGACCGACCTACTAGTCATTCAAGCCCTGTGACCCAGATTCCCTGTTGTTGTCAAAATACTTCGTTCTCATGCAACTCCTCAAGACTGTGAGAAAACCGGACGTGTTCTGAAGGACAGCACAGATCCGGAGACTCTCACACTGTGGGTTTAAAAAACAGCTTCTTAATCTTGAGCCAAACAGACAGTCTGTCCAAAAATGTGCACAAGGGCACAATTAAACATCATTGCCAGGAACTAGGTCAAAAGAGCATCATTTTTTGTGAATGAAGCAACTCCACTGGGCAAAGACAGTCACCAAACCCCTGTGCCGGCTGACTCACACTATTAATGATAAAAACACTTAGGCGTGACAAAATGTACTACATGCTGCAGTCTGAGCTCAATAATTACTGATCTACTGTACTGTAGCTGTAGTCTGGACTAAAACACTGATTGTGGGTGGTGTAGTGGTTAAGGATTAGAGCTGCTAACTGAAAGGTTGCAGGATTGAACTTCAGCTCCACAATTCACATTCATGTATCAGCGAAAGCTCTCAAGGCTTGCTCATACTCCCGGTCTGACATCTGCATAATTGGCGTGAACTGACTTGAAGTTGACTGATTATTATTTATGCTATCATTTATTAAGCGGGTTTGGCAGATAAACTGGAAACAGTTACGTTTTATTGGAAGAATTGAGCTTTTACCCTATGGGGCATTGGCTGTGATGCGGCCTTTCCTGTTCTTGTGAGTCAAACTTACCCCCCAGCTTGAAGAAAACAAGGTTTAAAACACTGCAACAGTGGTGGTGGTGCTCACAAGACACTGCTTTGATGCCCTTAGCTATCCAGGCCATCATAGAATATCTCATAAAATATTTAGAATTTATTTAGTCAAGTTCCTGCTCTATTTCATCAACGAACATAGTTTCAAACAAAGCCACAGCTGAACTGTTTTGTGACGGTGTTTTGTTACTGAATCAATCAGCCGTTTGAACAAATTGGTTGAATGAATGACTCAATGACTCACTCATGCAGTGATTTGCTGCCTCCTACAGTCAATTTTGGTTTATATTTAAAGTATACCACCCCCCCCCCAAAAAAAAAAATCATTTCAAATATCACTACTGAACGTTTTATTTTAAGACATCAAACATTATTTATGCATTTGTAACTGCAGGTTAAATGCATTCATGTCTTGCATTAAACAGTCCGTGTGAATGCATCTAAATGCCACTTCAGATGCAGATTCTGTACCACCTCTGCATTGCAAACACAATTTTTCATTTCATTTGATTGATAACAGTGTCTTACTATTTAAATTTACTGATTAAATTTATGAATTTGACAAAAGATGATGCATACATTTAATCAGTTTAGAAAATTGGCTTTAAAGGTAAAAATCAATTTAAACTTATTGGAAAAGTTACATTTCTGTTATTCCTGCAAACCAATCACCAGCACAATAACAGGCTCAGCAAAATATCATTTAATTATTGTTATCGACAAAATTTCAGAAAATATTGAGATACCATTTTTTGTCATTATTGCACACCCCTAGTTCATGATGATGTTAGCTGTATCAGTCGATTTGCCCATGTCTCTTCAGAGTCAATAATATAATTGGTGTGGGTCCTGACCTGATCTATGAGTTACACTGGTCATGAATTTCTTGTGAAAAATTATTTACTTCTTGGCAAATGTACATCTTTTCTTATGAATTTCTTTGTAATGCAGTGTAATAAGTGTGCACAATTTGGGAACAGATGTTAAAAGGCAGCTGAGGCTGCATTATCTCTGAACTGACGGGATTCATAGCGCACTTGAATAGCTTACTCAAATTTGAGCCAAAACAATTGCCATTATTTTTTGGAAACAGCAACATACAACACTTATCAAATATGGCCACAAGAATATTACTAATGGAAAATTCTCACACACACACACACAGTAAAATTTTTTTTTTTTTTTAAATAGGAGTTTAAATTAATAAAATAAAGTTCAATTTAAGCTTAATTCTGGGTTTTATTAAAAAAAAAAAATGTCCAGGAACATAAATGTCCATCATTCAAATTTAATTTAACATTTTTCTCACTGCAAGTTTAAGCAAGGATAGACACACTTCACAGGACAGTAGATGAATGCACAAAAGTGCAGCCTCAAAATTTACCACAGGCTTGAATCAGCACCTCTCTGACCCAGTCTCAACAAATACTGAGCGCCGTGGACATCACAAACCTGGAATTTTTTGGCAGGATTGTCCTCTGGAAAACGCCTGTATCCAAAGGCCAACCCGCAAACATGCATCCCCTGGTGTATGGAGCAGGAAATGTAGATCCCTGAGCAATGGAAAAAGTAATGAAGTCTAATGAGTCATCGCTCACACTATTTCCTTTCCTAGACAGGTTTACTTGGATACTTGCAAAGGATACCTTTGACATACATTTTTTGCCAACTGTTGGCAGACCGAATTTTACCTCCATTGTCTTTCAAAGAACGAGAGTTTTCTCTTGAAGTATGGTGTGAGAACTCACTCGCTTTAAGTTCAAAATGTAAATGACAGGCTTCCAGATGGATAGAAGCTGTTGCAAGACAAGTGAGGCCTACTGATTGTTTAGTCCAAAAGGCACTATAAACCTATTTGTGATGAGAGGGGCGGGGCCCCATTAATTGCTAATGCGCGACACCTGCGCCACTCACCAGTCTCGAGTCTCACGGAGGAGCTCCGGAAGGATAAAAAGGAGGAGGGACGACAGTGAAAGACGAGAGAGGACCAGGCCTGGAGTTTATTTTGTGTTTTGGTTTCACAACCAAACACTTGGTTTTCCCCCCCCTCCATTTCTGGGGAGCAGTGCCAGCAGGCTTTCACCCAGGTAAAGGCTGCTCTGTGTGGCGGGCCGCTCCTGCACTCCCCTGACTTCTCTCTCCCTTTTTTTGTTGCAGACTGACGCGTCGGAGAGGGGGCTGGGCGCGGTCCTGTCCCAGGAGATAGAGGGGGAGGAACGGCCGGTGCTGTACATCAGTCGGAAGCTCTCAAAGAGGGAGACGATGTACAGCACCATTGAGAAGGAATGTCTGGCGATCAGATGGGCCGTCCTCACCCTCCGCTATTATCTCCTGGGACGGGAGTTCACCCTCTGTTCGGACCACGCGCCCCTGCAGTGGCTCCACCGCATGAAGGATACCAACGCGCGGATCACCCGTTGGTATCTAGCATTACAACCCTTCAAATTCAAGGTG